TTTAGAAATTTTATTTTATAAATTTAAGGTCAGTTTTATTTTCTTCAAAAACTTTAGTGTACAAATTTTCGTTTAGTTTTACCTTCTTCGGGAAAATTGATTTACAATTTCATTCGAAAACTTTTTTTTAACAAACTAATGATCTACTCCTGGTAAAATCGAATGGAAAAATTCGTTTTATAGCAATGATTCCTTGGGTCAGTTTTGTAAGGTTTATCAGGTTTTAAACTTCTGTACTACACGATCTTTATTTTTTTTAAGTTTCACTACTCCAAAGCTTACCATTTTTATCAGTTTGAAATGGCGAAATATCTTCAAAATATGTGCAAAACTTCATATTTAAAGTATATAAACCGTTAAAACGTTCCCTAGCTTAAAATTGTTTTCAAAAAATAGATCGAATATATATATATATTTTTTACTTTATAATAAGAAAATAGTATTTTTCGCCACAGTTTTAGAATACTGTTTATAAATGAGTACAATATATTTCTATCAGTATAAAATTTGGTATGCTATATATCATTATATGTTTCTCAGTCAAGTTACATTTAGACCAACCTAGTAGTAATAACCGATAACATCGTACATGAAGTACAATTTTCACTTTAAAATGCTGAATATGATATTATATTAAAGGACAATAAGGGACCTTTTTGTCCATCTAGGCCATCTTATTTGCTAAATTAAACTAAACACTAAAAAACTCAAAGCCAGCCCTTATCATTCAAACATTTATCAAGCTTCCCTTAAACTGACTGCATGTACCACATTTGAAGGCAACCCATTCCAAAGGCCAAACATCCTGTTACGAAAATAAAGATGTCTTAGCTGAAGATGACTCATACCCTGCCAAAATTTATATTTGTGCCGCTAGTGTTACCATTTTCAACATTAAATATGGAAAAAGATAATGCGTCAATGCTATAAATTCTCTTTAAAATCGTAAACACCTCAATCAGATTCCCTTCAAACTCTTCTTCTTTCAAGAGAAAACCTTTCCATCCCAAATATCATTCTAGTAGCCCTTCTCTGAACCCTTTCGAATAATTCAATGTCCTTTCTAATGTAAGGACCCTGATACTGAACACAGTGCTCCAAATGTTGCCTAACCAATGGCCTATACAATGACACTATATCTTCTTTAGACCTGTATTCAATTATTCAATGTATACAAACCAAAATCACATTTGCCCTACCACTAGCAATGGTATACAGCTTGGATGGCTTAAGAGACTGATGAACCAGAACACTGTTACCTGGTTGTAAGTTTTTCGATCTGACGAAGAGCACTAGCTCAGAACGTCACCCTTTTAAAATATAAATGCAAAAAAATTCGCGACTGTTTAACCATTTTTTTAAATTTCGATATATTTGTCGGTTACCTATATCTTACTGTTAAGGTTATACTCATCAAAATTATATTCATAATTAAAATTATGATATCCCACATGTATTACCTTGCATTTATTATAATTAAAAGTCATCTACAAATTATTTGCCCAACTCACTAACTAATCAAACTCCGTTTGTAAAGCAGTAGCATCCTCCTTCATAGTCACCAACACCAAAAATCTTAATGATATCATCAAATTTATATGATCTATTTACCGTTCCTTCATCTATGCCAATGGTGTACATCAAAAGGAACAAAGGTCCTACCACTGAGCCCCGAGGGATTCTACTCATGACATTACTCCACTTTGACAGAACTCCATTCATAGCAACCCTCTGCTTTCTTCCACCTAACCAATTTTCTATCCAATGAGCCAATTTATCCCCCAGACCTACAGCAATAATTTTTTTTGGCAAGCCTTTTATGTGACATCCTGTCAAATGCTTTTTGAAAATCCAGAGACACCAAATCCATAACCTCATCTTTACAAGCAATAACCTCTTCAAAGAATGTCAAAAGTTTAGTAAGGCAAGGATTTCCCACCGCTGATGTAAGACTAATAGACCTGAAATTACTGGGACAATTCTTATCACATTCCTTGAAAAGGGAAGTAAAATTAGACAACTTCGAATCCTCTGGCACCTGCGAACTATTCAAGGACTTAGAAAAATAGTACCAAGTAGCTCATATAGCCAATCCTTAAACTCTTGAGCTGTTACGTCTCCGTTTGTTAATTGATTTTCCCCTAACTTCGTACCGACGAAACTTAAGCGACACAAGCCTTTACTTAATAAAACTGGTTTA